TTTTTTGCTGCCTCCCACCTTTTTCTCTTGTTGGAACTGTTTTTAGTTGTGCCTTTAGAACTTTCTTTTGCAGCACATAATTCTGCCTGTTCTTGGTAATTAAGCAGCTTTAGTGCCTGCCTCTGGGAGTTCAGAGTTACAAATCTCATTTTATATGTTTATGTTCATATATATATAAGATATGTATCTTAAAAAGTTAATTAACAGATGAAAGTGAGGAAATGTAGGAACATGCAAGAGAGAGAGAGGAAAGTCTTTTTGCATAGATTTCACCTACCGAAATATGGATGGGTGTAACGAGTTGCATACCCTTTTCTATTTCTGCATTGATTACAGGTCCTCCCCCCCCCCTATGTATTTAGCAATGAAGTGTGGACTATGTAGGAATAATTAACAAACTGAAGATAGTGTGCTGGCAGAAAAGAACAACTTTCCTACAAAACCAGGTGTATCATGCTGGAATGGACTTCAGCCAAATTAAACACTTGTTCAAAGCTGGTTTTTTAAAAAGAATATAGAAAATAGAATTGATTGTCCTTTTGGCAGCTTATTTAAGGGTTGTTGCTAATTTCTGTTAAAGATACCATTTAACAAGCAGGAGGAATTTTTATTGTTTGTATCTTGTGATATTGCTCTGCATTTTTTAAAAATGCATCATGTGTTATATAGACAGAACATGTTTTGCTTAATATATAATGCTATGCACACTACTGCCTGGAATATGAATAGCATCTTTTACCATCCCTGTCTTATCTGTTGCTTTGGGGGTAGCAGAAGTACAAAGTGAGCTCAGTGAAGGACTAGACAAAGTAGAGTAACTCTGCAAGGGCAGTCTCAGTTCTGCTGTAGCAGTGACCATTTCTGGGGGTCGGTGGTTATCTGGGAGGCAAGCAGCTGTAGGGTCATGATTGAACAGGGTTTCTTTTTAGATGGATTTGCAGGTTGTCTGGGTGTTAGGGTAGCCCTCTCTTTTATTCTACTGCACTTCCATGTCAACCTGCAGCCACAGAAGGAGCATGCAGCTCAGGTTGTATAGCCCTCTATTGTTCAATATTAGTACAGTTTGTACCATACTTTTTGCGCTACATTGCATCATACCTTAAAGGAAAAGTCACTCCGCATAGATCCCAATGATTTGGTTTTGTCTGCTCTCCAATGATCCTTTTTAAAGCAAGTTGTTGGTGTTGACTTTTTAACTACAGGTAATCTTTGAAGAAACTGATTATTTGAATCTATTATGATCTGGATTCTAGTTAGCTTTAGAAGAGAAATGGCTTTGTTATCTTTTGTGGATAACATTTAGCATAGGCAAAATGTGCACATCACTTTATATCAGACTGTGAATCCCTGTGACCCCTGCCGGGCTGAGGTGGTTTCCCTCTTTTTCCGTATTTTGTTCCAGAGAACGAGACAAATTAATATGCAGTTCAACAGGATTTATTCAGCCAACAATTAACTTTCTCGGAGAATCAACATTTAACAAATCCGAACTGGGGTTTAACACTGTTCACACAACATCTGCCCCCTTGCCTAAATCCCTGTTGGCAATGGGTGTTCTAACCTGGAGCTGTTCAAGGAGGTGGACTTATATAAGATAGGCAAGGGGTGGGTATCATTTGAGATATCCTGGATGAAAGGGACTGGGGAGTTCTCTTTCTTATATTTTCCTAATTTGGGATACAGGGTGTGTGTGACAGGCCCTCTGATGGGTACCCAGCCAGGGCTGCTTAGGAGTGGTAAACTGGACTCCTGAAACCTCCTGGGCCAGGTGGCATCTCTGCCTCCTCTCCTCCACAAAGGAAGGCTTATGGGATGGATGCCAATTCATATGGCATTCCACCTCAGCTTTAGGAAGCCTTAAGGAGGAGACAATCTCCCCAGTCCATGAGCCCTCCTTTTGGATGTATTCCTACTCTGGCTTGATTTCCATTCTCCATTTCTCCCTGGAACCCCTCTTCTTGTGGTTCCTCCAGAGCATCACCCCACTTCTCCTCTTCTTCAACTTCCTTTTCATCTTCCATCCCTGGAATATCTTCCACCTTCTCTTCTCCTCTGGGAAGTGTTTTTTCTTTCTTTCTTCCTCCTCCCCTCTAATTCTCCCTATTGTCTCTAATTCCCCCTTTTATCTCCAGCTCCCCAGTTCCTTCCTCGAAAGTTGTTCTTCTGTTCCCACCACTGCTTTATTTACTTTTGAACTCCTCCTCTGTCATTTTTGATCATTGTTCCTCCCAAGTCGACTGAGCAACTAGAAGTTGGGGATTTGGCAGGTTTTATGGAGAGATCTGCTTTATAACAGCATGTCCATCACTCCTTTGAAAGCCACCTGAAAAAGTCTGATGATTTTCCAGAATGGTGCTTCATATAATTCCAGGACTAATTGTGCTAGACAGGAAAATTGGTGAACACTTTGCAGTTACATGTAGATCTTTCTACATTTTGGCCATTTAATTTCACTAGACATTATATTTATTTTATTTATTAAATTTATATCCCACCCATGTAGACGTCTACTCTGGGTGGCTAAAAATAAAAAAGACTAAAAACAATCTAATATATCAAACAACAATTTAACAAGAAATACAATATCATTCAAGATGGGAAAATAGAAATCAAGTGGTGACATGAGGGAAGGCCTGCCTAAATAGCCAGGTCCCGAGTTGGCTCTTAAAAACACTCAGCGAGGGAGCCAAGTGGATCTTGGGGGGAAGACTATTCCAAAGGTGAGGGGCCACTGCCGAGAAGGCCCGGTTTCTTGTTCTTTCTTTCCGGGCTTCCCTCGGCGTTAGGCCCTCAGTAGCCCCTCCTGGCTAGAGCGAGTGATTCAAGTAGATCTAAGTGGGAGGAATAAATTCTGTAATCATTGAATATATCTGGAACAGTAATTCCTTTTGAAAAATAGTTGACAAGCAGCCATGTTAAAAGGACTTCAGATATTTGCTGGGAGTTGTTAATAATACACTGCCTTTCTCTCTAGATGTTGGCTGAATAATACTCTTAGCTAGTTCTAAAGTCCATTAAGTAAACATCAAATATATACAGGAGAGATAAATGCTGGCAGCACAGATTTCATAGAATTACATCTTGTGTTGTGCAGATTTTGACTTTATGAAAATTTAGTACATTTTTCTTATAGCTGTTTTGTACAAATCTTGTTTGTGTCAATGATGAGAGTCCTCTGAGAACTCAGAAGCCAGTGCAGGGATGGCAGTACAATACTGAACCCTGTATTGCTCTTCTTTCATATTATATTTATCTTTTACTCAGTTAGTTATTGCATATCCCACCTCCTCCCTGAAAAAGCACTTGAAGCAACTAATAGCAGCAAAATTCAAACTGAGGCAAATACAATTAAAAGAAAAAAAGAGGTTTAAGAAGAAGCCAGTAAGGCACCTATAGCTGAAAGAGGAAGCATCTTCACAGGACAGCAGTCTGTGCAAGAAAAACCAGAGCACAGAGTGGTGTCCTTTGAAGATGCCGGCCACAGAGACTGGTGAAACATTAGGTAGAACAAACTTCAGAACACGGCCAAAGAGCCCGAAAAACCCACAACAGCCATTAGATCCTGACCGTGAAAGCCTTCGTGAATACAGCTTAAACCTTGTTGGAAGGCAGGTAATTGGTTGATAATTACTGGGTTCATCGCCCTTTTGATGATCTTTTATTATCAGAATTGTGTGGCCAGTTATCATCCAGTCTTCAGTTGTAGAATTTTGAAGTAAGTGGTTACATTGTACTGCTATACATTGTTGGAGACTTGTTAGGTGCTTTGACTAAAATCCGTTCAATTTATATGGACCAGGTGCACTCCAATTTTTCACAGCCTTTACTTGCTTCTTAATAATTTCAGTTATTACAATATCATCCATTTGTTTTCCTTGAATTTCTTTACAAATATCCTTAGTCCATGAGGTGTTTTTGCTATGTCTGGTTGGGCTTTCCCACATTTCTTTCCAAAATTTCAAAGCATCATCTTACCATGGGCTTAATTTCTTTTGCTCTGCATTTTCTCCTAGTGATGTATAGAATAATCATTGGTTATTTTGAAATTGCATGTTTTCTCTTTATTGTTTCAAGCGTCCATCATATCTTTTTATTATTATATTACTGTTGTTGTTATTGTTGTTGTTGTTGTTGTTGTTGTTGTTGTTGTTGGTGGTGGTAGTAGTAGTAGTAGTACTAGTAGTAGTAGTAGTAGTAGTAGTAAAAAGCTTACAGATAGTTGCAATGAAAGAGCAAAGTGCAAATGACATGAAGATCAATTATTAAGGATTTAATTATGGAAGGTGGATAAAAGGGAGGCTTCATACCACTGTCTTCCGTATGCTTTTAGGCATAGGATTAATTGTACTTTTGTGTTTATATTATTTAGAAAACACAAAATAGAATAATAGAAATTGTTAATTAGAAACAAAGTCCAACTTCAAACACATCCTAAAAATGAAACTGTTCATGCATGTATTCCCTGAATAATATTCTCATTGCTGTTTTACTTTTTTATTAATTGTTTATTTATTTTTCTTATTTGTTGTTTCAAACTTGTATTAACAAATTGATATTGTTTCTATACCACTGTACTGTAGCATCAGGGACCAATTCAAAGCTTCACTGTACCAAGCCCTGCATTTATTACAAATAAATGAACAACTGGAAATCACAAGATCTGTTTAATAATTTCAGTCTATATTGAATTAGTACTGAATTACAATTATTTTACCTTTCAGAAACAAAACAACTGTTTTGGGGGGTTTGAATTCAATAAAATAAATTTTCTGTTTCTGTTATGTATCACAACTTTATGTAGGAAATAACTCCTTGCTTTAAATTTAATGCACAGAAGCAGACCTCTTGCAGATTCAACAAGCCAATGACAAGATTAATGAAAGTATCACATTCCTCCAGTACATGATTTGATCTGGCAAAATCATGGTTTTGAAACATGATTACACTCTGCCACTTGTACATATTTTGATATTTAATTTACATTCTTGTTTTTCTTTCAGCCACAACCAGCAGTCTACAACATTTAGACATCCTGTGACTGGCCAGTTTTCCCCAGAAAACACTGAGTTTATTTTGCAAGAGGAGTAAGTATAGGAGTTATCTCACTACTTTTTCCTCTGAACAAAAATTTTAAGAATTATGTTAAGATGCTGTGGCTCATCATTTGCTAATCTTCCAAAGTTTGATTTCAAATTTGCCCTTTGCAATGATACTAAACATAAATTTAAAGCTAGCAATGCTAATGATTTAGAAGTTTCTGAATTCAGGGAGTGTGGTAACACAATCAGAAGCACCGAAAACTTTTTCAAAGGATGGTTCAAGATTAGAGGGGTTGTGTGTGTAGTAACCATACTATGGTTCTAGTTTGGTTTGATTTGTTAGCCATGCTTGTTCATGAGAAAAGAAAGCCCACAAAAAAGTGACTCCTGATCACTGTTTATGAAAACATAAATGATGGGTGTACGTAACTCATATGAATCTCTTGGACTGGGTGGTAGACAGCTTTTTGTGAAAGTGGAGGGCAGACGTAAAGAGAAACATTACTGCTTTTATACTGGCAAATCTATACATTAATTTTAAATGATGGGCTAGCTTAAAAAGTCAAACAATATATTTCCTTTGGAGGAAACAGAAGCCTTAAAAAGGCAGTTGTCTCTTTTGGGTTAGCAGTGTTCAGTTAACTTTTGAATTAGTCATGTACAGTATCTGATGTCATCTTATTGGATTGAAGTAAAGTGTAGCCATATGGTCCAAACAAAAATAATTCAAAAACAAAAATAGGCAGTACCTTTATAGACCGCTAAAAATCATCATACAGTAAACAAGCTTTTGTGGATTAAAACAACACTTCATCAGGTTTGTACCAGTGTGAAGTCCAAAACTTAAAATCTAAACATAGATAACAAGATGAATTTAGCCAAAGAAGTATTCGTGGAGCCCCCTCGCTGGGCACCTTTAAGAATCTATTAAAGACCTGGATGTTTCGGCAGGCCTTCTCACCAGATTACTTTTGATTTTCTTTTCTCCTTTACGTAACAAGATGAATTTAGCCAAAGAAGTTGCTCTTAGATGTTAAGTCTAGCAGTTCTTGGCAAGATGGGTTTCACCAGATTTGTCTCTTAGATGAAAGTCAAGAGTCTGGTTGCTGTTTTATGGTTACAGATTAGGTAGATGTGGAATGGGTGTATGTGATTGGGTTCTTATTCTAGATTAAGCAGTTCCTCCTCTTTAATGAGAGTTCTCACAGGAGACAAGTTAACACGAATCAAAGGTTTAATATCTTTCAACGGGGCAGGATGTACAACAACTTCAATGGGTCCAACGGGACCAGCAACCACAGATGTTTCAGGCCACATTCCTTGTAAGCCTGCCGTAACTAGAGAGTCGTTTAATGGGGAGACATTCCAAACCTCTCACAGTCAGTAGGTTTCCTCAATGGTTGACTCTTCACAGATAGTCCCTCAACAAGGGTGTCAAGCCCAGTCACCTCGAAGGGTGTCGTACCCATGGGGATAGACTCTGGACACACCACCTTCTTCTGGGGACCCTTCCCTCTTGGGTAAACATATGTGGGCCATTCCAACAGCTCCACTTCACCTAACTGTACGTCAATTGCCATACTTGTTGTTGGTGGGGAGCAGCGGTTCCCTTTCCTTTCTCACTTTTCATCTTTCCCTTTTGGGGAAAGGAGAACACATAGGACACATCTTCCCCCTTTGACAGTGACTCTTCTTGCTCCTTCTGCCTCCGGACTGTCTTACTCCTCTGAACCCCAATTCTTCTTGTCTCCCCTTTCATCTCCTACCTTACTTACATCCTTTTCCTCCTCTGTCATTAAGAAACCCTCCACTATTGGCTGCTCTTTCCCCCTGCTGTCTTCCCGCCTCCTTCTCCCTCTGTCTTTCCACTTTCTCCTAGAGTCAGGTTCTGAACCGCAGAAGATAGTGAAATAAAGATGGTGTGGAATCCTTTGGCCCTAGATGAGTGAGGGGACAGCTTACTTCTAGGTTTAACCACTCTCATTGGTTCTTATTCACAGTGTAAAACCCAGTTCTCCAAACAAAGCAGCAGAGACCATGTGTATACACATCTCTCCATTTGGCCTTTGGTCGAAACAGATGTTTCCGATGGTTGTTGTAGGTTTTTCAGGCTGTTTGGCCGTGTTCTGGAGGTTTTTCTTTTTAATGATTCGCCATTGTCTGTGGCTGGTATCTTCAGAGGACAGGAGTTAGAACTCTGTGTTCTGGTGTAGTGTGATCTCCTCCCTTACTTACATCCTTTTCCTCCTCTGTCATTAAGAAACCCTCCACTATTGGCTGCTCTTTCCCCCTGCTGTCTTCCCGCCTCCTTCTCCCTCTGTCTTTCCACTTTCTCCTAGAGTCAGGTTCTGAACCGCAGAAGATAGTGAAATAAAGATGGTGTGGAATCCTTTGGCCCTAGATGAGTGAGGGGACAGCTTACTTCTAGGTTTAACCACTCTCATTGGTTCTTATTCACAGTGTAAAACCCAGTTCTCCAAACAAAGCAGCAGAGACCATGTGTATACACATCTCTCCATTTGGCCTTTGGTCGAAACAGATGTTTCCGATGGTTGTTGTAGGTTTTTCAGGCTGTTTGGCCGTGTTCTGGAGGTTTTTCTTTTTAATGATTCGCCATTGTCTGTGGCTGGTATCTTCAGAGGACAGGAGTTAGAACTCTGTGTTCTGGTGTAGTGTGTGGGATAGGGGCAGAAGTGCCCCTATTTCACCCCTGGTATCCCCCCCCCCCAGAACACGTGAGTTCTAACCCCTATCCTCTGAAGATGCTGGCCACAGAGAGTGGTGAAACGTTAGGAAGAAAAACTTCCAGAACACAGCCAAGCAGCCTGAAAAACCTACAACCATTGGATCCAGGCTGTGAAAGCCTTCGGGAATACACAGATATGTTTCTGCTTAGCCAGGTGGGAAGTGACACAGAAAACCTGAGTTCTCCATTCTCCATCTGAGAGATTATGTATGATAAGTTTTTTACTGAGCTATAAAAGTATTGTGTATTTTTGCATTTGGATTTTATTGTGTTTCAACCACATGGCTACCCTTTACTTCAATGGAATTGAGGATACCAAGAAATACCCGCTGCTAGCCACCAACAACAAGACACGTGGACTCTCAACATCAGCAGAGCAGAATTGCAACCCCTGGGTAATATCATTCTGGCTTTCATCTGACCCCAATTGGCTGAACCTTTTAAATTTACTAAATTATCACCCCAATTCTCAGATGGAAAACTGAGATTTTCTGTTTCACCCTCCCCTCTTCCCACCCCAGGTATTGCCTGTTTTTGCATTTGGATCCTATTTGATGCCATCTTTGTTTTCCTATGTGTTTCCCATATTTTTTTAGTCTAAAACATCCCTTCCTCAAAAACAAAGGGGAAAACAGCACAATCTCCCTATGGGTCTTTTTAACACTTCTCTTGCCCCCTTTTTTAAAAGTGTTGATTTTTATATGGTATACTGTATATATGAAGATAGTGCCATTTTAAGAGACATGGATTTTTAATACCTTTTGATATAATCTTCGGCAGGTTTTTTTGCAATGATTCTGTCTTCTTTTATTAATAATTGCATCTTTCTTCTAGAAGACTATGCTATATATAGAATTAAACAGAGCTGATTAATTATATAGATATTTTTGGAGTGATATTGCATACACATCTTTGAATTAACTTCCATCCGTCATTTCCAGTCCATGCACCATTTGACATAAACATTTGTAAATTGCTGCATACTACCATCTGAAGAAATGGTTGCATTGGACATGAGATAATCATATTCGTCTCCCAGGAGAGATGAATACAAATATTAGCACCACAGATATCTGTGCTGTTTACCCCTCCCCCCACCAGAACTGGCTGGTCTATTGATAATACACCAGTCACCAGTATCCATTCGCGTCACACCAATTGTGGAAATAGCCCAGCTGGTGCTTCCCCATCTCCCTGCACCACTGACCACTCAGCGGGGAGATTCACCATCCCAGCTCCTTGCTGGTAGTCAGCAGCTCAGGGAGGTGCTGATATTCATCTCCCCTGCAAAACTAATACGGAAATCCCATGTCTAGTTGTAATCTATTAGCGCTTATCCTGGATACATTTATTAATTTTCATGATACTAGAAACCTTTCAGTTGTCTCTGCTGTAGCAGACTAACATAGTAAATCACTTGGAAAATCCACTCATAGGCATCTATATGAGAAAGGGTGCTGTGTTTATGCTAGGAGGTAGCATAAGCGTGCCGTGTTCAGGGGAAATTCACGCCAATGATTATGGAACATTCCCTGTCACTGAAGGAAGTGTAGCTTGTGCAGAAAAATGTATGTTCTCTGGAAAGCCACCAGGCTTATTTAATGGGTAACACCAGCTGCAGATTCACTGTTCTATCTCTATAGCTGTGAAGAGTAGAAACTTGATTTTACAAGAGCAAAGAAACAACCCACTTGCTGGCATGTGTATGGTATACAATATTCCTTGTAAAATTCCACATGTGCAAAATTACAGCTGTTCTTTTCGCACTGTGTCTCTAGATGAATAATTAATATATCCCACACTATAGTAGTGTTGCTGATTGTATTGTGTATTATAGAGCAATATTTTAACATAAAAATTGAATATCTATTCACCGCCATAGTATTTAGTTGATTTTCCTTTAGTATTATGTCTGATGTCATTTGATTAGGGAAGACAGTTTGGGCCTATTTCAGCCCTGGTATTGTTTACTGCAGAAATTGAAAGAGACAGAGAAGCGAGTAGCTGGAAGGACAAGTACATGGAAAAGAATAACGTATTTATTTGGTTTTGCCATAAGCTAAAATTGAAAGATTTAATTAAATTGAAAGGATGATAGAGGAGAATAAAATTGATTTGTTTCAGTGTCAGTTACTTTAAAAATCTGGAATTGTTCACACAGGCAAAAATTTCTTGCATTTCATATCTTTAGGGAGTGCTCAGGAAAACACTGCTGCCAGACAGCCTTTTGTTTTTTCCACTGATACAACCTGTAACTGTGTGATGGAGTTGTGTGATGAATATATACCTGTTAATGTTG